CCCCAAAAACCCCCAAACCTTGCCTATGTTTTTCCTTTGGAGACAACTTTTTTTTCCCCTTTCTTTGAACAGAGCTGACCAATCTTTTGGGTAAGGGGTGGATTTGCCATCGATCGATGCCACCTTCGGGGTGGGGCTGGGGGTATCCACCAAAGGCAGCACTTTCCCAGGCAGATTCCATTCTGCTTCGCGTGAGGCCGGGCTGGGAAGTTGTGCTGGAACAGCGAACTCTGCTCTCCCAGGGGCAGGAAGCCTCCAGACTGTCCTGTTACTCACTTCCATCCTCCTTTTCCAAGCGCTCAGCCGCCATCTGCCGGTGGAGTTGCTCCAGCAGATCATAAATAGTGAAAAAAAATAGTGTGATTAGGGTTGGAGTGTGTGATAGGCAAAACAGCAGAGTGCAATAATTAACAAGCCGTGCTTTCCTTCCCTTTTCCTTCCCTTTCAAGCCAGGTTTTGGGGGCTTGCTATTTTTATTTTTATTATTACTGTGACTGTTCACAGGGATGAACATAAAGCATGATTTATCTCTGGTTTGCTTCCCTGTGTTCACTGTTTCTCTAGTAACCATGCCCCTKGTTGCTGCTCTTTTAATCTCATTTCCCTGCCCTCTTTCTGTCTCCGATTTTCCGCACTTCTCTTGTCCTGGCTGKAAGGGAAGTTGTGTGTTCCTGGGTGAATAGTTTGAAGCCACAAGGCACAATTAGGTCATTTAGACCAGGGACTGCTAATAGCAATGTGAAAATGCACGAGGTATTTTATAGCCYAGGACTAGACCATCTCCTGCTGCTGTTGCTCTGAAGGCAGGTGCTGCAGTGCCAGAACAGGGTGRCCATAATAAATTAAAAATTTTGGGTTACTTGCCACGAGAGTATTATTTACTGACAATGTAAAAAGCTAAGTGGTAATATAATCATGGTACCAGAAATCAAATATTGATATTTTCCAGGCCACTGAAAACTGTGTCCCCCCCCAGAGAGCACAATTGCAGCTGGTTCCCTGGAAAGAAAAAAAATAAAAATAAAAATTAAAAAAAAAAAAAAGGCAACTGCTAATCTCCTGGATCTCTTGGTTTTGGCATCTATCTTTCTTTCAAGGGCATCCCTTGTGTTTTGATGAACAGCACCTGGTTCTGGCTCACCAGCTGCAGGCACTGAGAAAGTGACTGTGCTCACACCAGCTGGGAGTTTTTTAATTTCTTCTCTCTCTCTTTCCCTCTCCTCTCCTGAATATCTGTACACCTAGAAGCTATGGAAGAAAGGGTTCAACAGGATGGAACATATGTGGYATATGATGTGTTGAATGTGCTTCTTCCAGAGCCATAATTCAACATGAAGTTAGGATTTTTAATTACATTTTCATTTACTGTTAATGAAATGAAGCTGTTCTGCAGAATGCTTTTATACAAGTGTTTATTTTCTGCCAACAAGTAAGCAGAAAGAGACTTTTGTATTTCACGTGTAAATRTTTCTATATTTATAATAATTATAATTCACTTATTTAAATATTAATAATTGTTAAAGAGTTTGGGGTTTTGCTCTGCTTTTGCAGCAGTATGCAAATTATTTATTTCAATATTTGAAGTTAGACAAAGAAAGCAAAAAGGCAAATTCTTGTGCTGTGTGTAATTACAAGCTTTTAGCTTAATTGACGAGAATTTATTCCATTTTTTTCTGCTGGAGATGGATCTCTCTTAACATTTTTAAGAATCAGAAGTTCCTTTCACTCTGATGGATTCCCAGTGAGCAGTGGTGTTGCCAGGCTTTTGGGGATAAGGGTGAAACATGRGATATGCCTGGTTTCAATAAATGTTTTGGTCTTGAGATGGTATTTTTGAAGTGGAGGTTTGTAGTTTTTATTCTCTGTAAGTTTATTCTTTTTTTCTCTTTACTGCAAGATATGAAGAATGATTAATCTTGGAATATGTTAAACAAGTTGAAATAGTTGGAGGATGGGGGAGCTCCCTGATGTCAAGCTACAGCTGAGGAAGAAGAGGCTGATTTTTGCTGGTTTCAGGCTTGAAGCTTGCTTTCTGTAAAGCTAACCTGAAAAAAAAACCTCAAAAAATCCCCAGAGTCTAGACAAGGCTGCTGGGTAGAAAAAGTTGTTACCAATCCATGGTGAGTTAGGTCCACCTACTTCAGCCATTTAATAAACTAGGCAAACTTTTTTTGCTAAATCTCCTCAAGCCTTTCTCTCCACAAGCAGGATCACTACAGGGATCAGCAAATATCCAGCACTTAACACCATGAGAAAATATAATGATGGTGGGGCTGAAGTGGGGTGGGGCTGAAGACATAGGTAAAAGCAGGTTCCATAATTTGCCTCTTTTTGTTTTTTTAATGAGTTGCAGACAGCACTCCTCTTGTCCCCATCTTGGAAAGATGAATGCCTGAGCGACTGAAAGCATCTGTCAGTGTCTGCTTATTTCTGAAGTCCTTCTAGAGACCATCCCCCTGCAGCTCCACCTTAATGTTTTAGTGCTCTGAAAGGATTCTGTATGCCACTCTAATGCCCTGAAAATCTTAAGTTATACTACACTGGCAAATAGAAGTCTCCTTTCCTTAAATGAATATTCCAAGTGTAGAGATGGAAATAGCCTCCAGTGCTCCCTCCTAAATCAAGCTTTCACCACAGCTCTGTTTGTCACTGTTCTAAATTAGTAGTAGAATGTACAAAAAAAATCCCCCAAGCAACTTAAACTTTGCTCCTGGATAGTTAAATTCCCATAGCCACTGGTTAATTATTTACAACTGGGACTTCACAGTCACGTTTACAGACCATCCTGTGTGTTGGGTTTGCCTGTTAGAGGTGATGATTACTTATTCACTCAAATCATGCTTCTGTACATAAGATCTTGGCATCAAAATGGCAAAT